GGCCATAGCCGCGGAGCATTGACACAGAGTACCGGAGGAGAGAGAAAGGGAGGACAGAGAAGGAGGGACTAAGGAGAGAGAAGAAGAAGTGTGGAAGGACGAGATTGAAGAAGAAGACAGACATAGCCGGGGGTGAACAAAAAAACAGAGAAAGAGAAGAAGGAAGAAAGTGAAGGAAGGGGAAGTAGACGGCAAGGGTGACGAAGGTGGAGGTCCCGGCAGCCATAGCCGAGGTGAGGAGTTGACCGGGCGTTGACCATACCGTTGACCAGAGGGTTGAACAAGGGTTGACCAGAGGGTTGATCAGGCGTTGACCAGGGGTGTTGACCAAGCGTTGACTGGGGTTGACCGCGTTGACTCAGCGTTGACCAAGACGTTGACCGGAGCTGATGACCAAGATTTTGACCAAGCTGGAGTTGGTGATATCTCGTTGAGCCCTTAGCCTATCCCCTTACCCTGTGGATGTGCACTTACCCCACGGTACTTGCTGAGTCTGTCTGTCTACTCTTTCTGCATTGAGTCTCTTCTGTCCTAGGTGCTAGGACTCTGTGGATGAAGGATAGGGCCTTGCTGCCAAACCTGCGCGGGCTTAGTAGGACCAAGTCTTTACTCTGGCATATGGAGACCTGGGCATGGGCGGCGAGCGCTCGTTAAACCACAGGTCCCCCTCACGAAAAAAACCTCGGGGTACCAGTAGCGCCGTTTCGCGACGGCTACCGGTAGTACAACGTGGAAAACGGGGCGGGCCTCCGTACGAAATTTTGCGACAAAAATCTGAAGTAAATCGAATCGGCGCGGCAATTATTTCACCGTCAAAATGATTTTTTTTTATTTTTTTTTTCTGATATTTTTCCCTAAAAGATCACAGCCTAATCTACGGACCCTCAAATTTTCAGACATTTTGGTGAATTACTCTGAGCACGAAAAATCGGCAAAGTTGCCGCTTGGAAAGTGGCGGGATTTGGACCCGTCGGCCTCCGCACAACCCGGCGCCTCAGTACGGTCACCGCCCCTCCGTACAACCCGGCCCTAACTCACCGGTACCAGGGGTTTTCGGTGGCGGGGGGACCTGTGGTTTAAACAACTCGTCTAGCCCAATGACCGGTACTGACCGGCAGGTCTACTGAGTTCAGTGTAAAGGGTCCGAACTCCGGGCTGTAGGCTGAAGCGAGGGCCGTCTTTAAGTGTTGAGGCCTGGTTGAACCACTCCCCTACCGGACCCAGAAGGCTGATGATCCGTGTCTGACGACTCAACTGACCCGAGGGACACGAACCCCTCCAAGGATCGGTACCGACCGGCGGGCTGCTCGGTGTGGCACAGGAGGCTGGAAGGGTTGAGTTGTGGGCTGAAATCGCCGGAGGAGCCAAGCTGATCGCGTCGTCCTGTTGCGACGTTAAAGAATTCCTGCGGAGTTTGGGGGATCTCCTTAAATGCCTCCTGATCAGCTGCTGGTTCTGTAGTGACAGCCTTAGAGTAGTTGTGAGTAGTGGATCTTAGAGAGTCGGTCAGTGGGGCAGCGTCTGGGTAGGTCTAAGTGGTAAGGAGTGGGACTCTTGTCGTGCACCAGACACCACGATCGACGACTATCCGATGTATGGGTTGCTCGTTGGGTTCTCCCTCTGGGGAACCCTTTGGCGTCTCCTCTTCCCTCTGGGCTTTTGGCCCACGTTTACGTGTAGAGTAGGGACTCGGGGTGGCACTTCCACCCAACCTTACACGAAGGAGGAGGAGAAGATGGCCGCCATCCTGCAGGAGAGAAAGGAAAAGAGAGAGGCCAAGAAGAAGGCCCTACGGGAGGAGCAGGCGGCCAAGTTGAGAAAGATTGAGGAAGAGATGGCTAGAGAGAAGGAGAGAATTAAGAAAGAAGAAGAGCAGAAATTGAAGGAGGTGGACGAGGAAGAGGAGGAAGGGCCGCCATTGCAAAGGAGGAGTGGGCAGCACAGTGGCAGCAACGGTTGGGACCTGGAGAAGAGGATATCCGAATGGGTTGCCAATCTGTCTGTGGGAGAAGAGGAAGAAGTTAGTATGTACATCCCGCAGGATCAACAAGAGGCTGCCATGAGGGCTTGGGATGCAGAGAAAGATCCCCTCAGACGACAGGCGTTGGAAGACGAGAAGAGGATGGAGTGGAAATTAGCAGTGATGAGGGAGAAGAAGAGAAGAGTTGACAAGGCAGCGGAGGCGGCGGAAGAATTAGAGGAGGTGAAAAAGCTAGAAGAGCAAGTAGCCGCCCAGACTGAACTCCCAGCCCAGCTGCGAGTCATAGCCCGAAGTGTCGCACGCCTGGCACGGATTCACGCGGACCAATATGACTTCAGTAGGAGTCAAGATATAGTTGTGTGCTCGATACGATTGGGCTTTCGGGACTTTGCTCGTGAGTTGGTAGGCGCTGTTGGAGCCGAGGTGGGTCATCGTCTCGACAAGACTGAGCGATTTTGCGCTGGCGCCATTGAAGGCGTCAAGGCGGCAGCTCCCAAGGAGGAGGAAGCACGTCCTCCTCACCAGGAGCCGGTCAAGGTCAAATTCCCTGATTCCTACAGTGGAAAAAGGGAAGAGAACTTCGACAATTGGGAGGCCAACGTCAAAACCTATGTGCATCTGCAACAGGTCTCCCCAGATCAGCAGGTTCTGATCGCGATCCACGCGCTTAGAGACGAGGCCGCTAGCTTTGCAAGGTCCCTAGTTCGCGCTGCCAATTGTAATGACGATCCAGTTGCGTACTCCGTATTTACTCCCCTCATCGATTTTATGAAATTGTTGCGCGAGCGATTTGCTGACGTCGCTCGCAGTGTCAAGGCCTCGGACAAGCTCCAGACCATCCATTCTCGTAAATGGAAGAGTGCCAGGGCACTCAAGGGTACAATGGATGAGTTGGTGGCCGTCCCGGACCATGGGGTCACAGAAGGCCAGTTGGTCAACCTCTTTTACCGGGCTATGCCCGAAGCCTTTCAAGGGCAGTTCTTCGCGAAGAGCGAAGACCCAGCCACAAGCCACCACTTACGATTCCCTTAGCCGTGAGGTGGTGGCTTTGAAGCGAAGTCCGTGTCCCTGTCTACCTTCTGGCACAAGGACTTGGACAGGGGAAAGCAATGGAAAGGCCGCACTATCTCAGGGCAGGTAAAGACCAAGGACAGCCTTGTCCTGACTTTAGATGAGGGTAGTGTGGATGAGATCCCCTACGATCAGATTGAGTGGGGGTTAGAGGAGGAGGACAGCAGTGTGGGCCAGGGGAGATCTTATGCTGTTGTCGCGGCTGGAGGGAGGCCGCAAGGAGGACGAGGCCAAGGCCAAGGGGGCCGGGCCTCAGGCGGCCGGTTTCAGGGCGATCAGGGGGTTGGCGGCCGAGGAGGAAACTGCCAAGCGGGAGGCAGGGGTCAAGGTCGCCCGCAAAACCGTCCTAGGAACAGGTCTCCCTATAGGGTAGGAGGATGGCACTCGGGGCTACCGCAGGGTAGGCCTTGGGAAACTTTGGGCATGGACCAGACTTTATGGCAACAACGATTGGACCGGGGCCAGTGCATTTTCTGCGGTGACCCGGGCGAGAGACCCGAACGGCTGCCCAAGGGCCAAAAGGCAGCCGCCGGTAGGGGTAGCAACTGCCCCTACCACTAGGCCATGTGCGGAACATAGCGCTAACCGGCAGGAGACTCCCACACCACATGTGCCTATGGCAGAGGTTGCAGGCCGATGTCTAGATATCTGCCCAGAGACTGCTTGTGTCAGGGTCTCTCTAGACACCTCCCTCACAGGCGTGGCTGTTACGGACATCGCCAGGGCTCGATCCCTGGTCTATCTTTTGCTGTTTCGGCTGCATCCCGTTTTCGGCCTGGCACCCTTTTTCCAAACCCYTCCTTTGGTACCGTAGGATTTTGGACAACTGGCGCCATGCTGCAATTCGGGCGCCACTTTCAAATACTGCATGTTTCAGTTCTGCCCTCGGGGCCTTTGCAGAAATGCCCCTGGTACCGTACGTGTCACCGGTACTTATACCGGCTCCCCGTACGGTACGGGGACCAGTCTCGTACCAGTTCTCTGCTGCTGTACTTGTACTCAGTGTGACTTGCCGTTTCGGCATTGGGAATCCAAGACTTCGACTTTGTGCCTTGCCACTGTGTCTGCGTCCAACCCTCAGTCCGAGTCCGTCGTGTCGAGTGAGTGAGTGTGTGTGTGTGCTCTCCCTCTCTCCCTCTCTCTCTCCTCTCCCTCGGCTCACCCTCAGCCTCACTCCCGTTACAGTGGCCGAAGAGTTGAAGGAGAGGATGCCCGCCTGGGCCAAGATGAAGAAGGAGAATAAAGGGCAGCTGATTTTTTTAGAAGCAGAGTAGGGGCCCTAGTAGACTCAGGGGCCACCCGCAGCTATATTAGTAAGAAAGCGCTGCAGAAGTTGAGGCTGGGACTTAAAGTCCAGAAACTGACAGACCCCATAGTTAGTATCCTCGCGGACAATCGTATCATGGTTGTAGAGGATTACGTAGAGGGAGTCTAGGCGTATTTCCGCTTAGAGGAAGACGGGAAAGTGGAGAAGGTTCTCCACTCCCTGACTCTCCTCGTAGAAGACAGCCTCCCATTTGATATTGTTTTGGGAATGGATTGGGGAGAGGCAGCCGGGGCAACGCTCCATCTGAAGGAGCACGAGTGTAGGCTCCCTAGTTTTGCAGGCGAGGCTAAGACTGCCCGCCTGTTCCATGTCTCAGGAGTAGAGAATTCCTTGGCACATTGTTGCCTTAGTGCCCCTGCGTTCGCCAGATTGGTGAAGAAGGAGAGATTGGAGAAACAGGTTTTTGTTGCCTATGTCAGGCCAGTAACTAAGCCTACAGAAGAAAAACCGATGGACCCTGCAATTTCCAAGCTGCTGGAAGAGTTCAAAGATCTGACTGAGTCGCCGACAGGCACGGTGCCGCGGCCCATCCAGCACCGCATTGAGATAGAGCCTGGCAGTAGAACTCCAAAGGGTGATGTGTATAGGATGTCCCCACGGGAGTTAGAGGAACTTCGCAAGCAATTAAACGAGCTCCTCGAGAAGGGTTGGATTAGGCCTAGTTCGCCTCCGTTTGGAGCGCCTGTTCTCTTTGTCCCTAAGAAAGAGGGAGAGCTGAGGATGTGCATAAACTATAGGGGTCTGAATGCTATTACAGTAAAGAATGCTGAGCCACTGCCTAGGATAGACGATCTCTTAGATCGAGTGCAGGGGGCGAAGTATTTTTCCAAGATAGATTTGAAGTCCGGATATCATCAGATAGAGGTGCATCCTGATGATCAGTATAAGACAGCCTTCCGGACTAGATATGGGCACTACGAGTTCATAGTGATGCCCTTTGGACTAACCAATGCGCCCGCTACGTTCCAACGCTGTATGAACGATTTNCAGCTATATTAGTAAGAAAGCGCTGCAGAAGTTGAGGCTGGGACTTAAAGTCCAGAAACTGACAGACCCCATAGTTAGTATCCTCGCGGACAATCGTATCATGGTTGTAGAGGATTACGTAGAGGGAGTCTAGGCGTATTTCCGCTTAGAGGAAGACGGGAAAGTGGAGAAGGTTCTCCACTCCCTGACTCTCCTCGTAGAAGACAGCCTCCCATTTGATATTGTTTTGGGAATGGATTGGGGAGAGGCAGCCGGGGCAACGCTCCATCTGAAGGAGCACGAGTGTAGGCTCCCTAGTTTTGCAGGCGAGGCTAAGACTGCCCGCCTGTTCCATGTCTCAGGAGTAGAGAATTCCTTGGCACATTGTTGCCTTAGTGCCCCTGCGTTCGCCAGATTGGTGAAGAAGGAGAGATTGGAGAAACAGGTTTTTGTTGCCTATGTCAGGCCAGTAACTAAGCCTACAGAAGAAAAACCGATGGACCCTGCAATTTCCAAGCTGCTGGAAGAGTTCAAAGATCTGACTGAGTCGCCGACAGGCACGGTGCCGCGGCCCATCCAGCACCGCATTGAGATAGAGCCTGGCAGTAGAACTCCAAAGGGTGATGTGTATAGGATGTCCCCACGGGAGTTAGAGGAACTTCGCAAGCAATTAAACGAGCTCCTCGAGAAGGGTTGGATTAGGCCTAGTTCGCCTCCGTTTGGAGCGCCTGTTCTCTTTGTCCCTAAGAAAGAGGGAGAGCTGAGGATGTGCATAAACTATAGGGGTCTGAATGCTATTACAGTAAAGAATGCTGAGCCACTGCCTAGGATAGACGATCTCTTAGATCGAGTGCAGGGGGCGAAGTATTTTTCCAAGATAGATTTGAAGTCCGGATATCATCAGATAGAGGTGCATCCTGATGATCAGTATAAGACAGCCTTCCGGACTAGATATGGGCACTACGAGTTCATAGTGATGCCCTTTGGACTAACCAATGCGCCCGCTACGTTCCAACGCTGTATGAACGATTTGTTTAGGCCATGGTTAGACAGATTTGTTGTAGTTTATCTAGATGACATTTTAGTGTTTAGCAGGACCCTCGAAGAGCATCAGGGTCATCTCAGGCAGGTCTTGGAGAAGCTGAGGGAAGCTAACTTCAAGATTAATGCAAAGAAGTGCGATTGGGCGAAAACCCAAGTTTTGTACTTAGGCCACGTCTTAGATGGAGACGGCGTCAAGCCAGAGGATAGCAAGATCGCAGTGATTAGAGATTGGCCCACGCCACGTACGCTGACAGAGTTGCGCTCGTTCCTGGGTTTAGCTAATTACTACCGGAAGTTCGTGAGGAACTTCTGTCTTCCAAGAAAAAGTTAAAGCAGGCATTGATAGAGTATCCAGTCCTTAAAGTCGCCGACCCGTCCTTGCCCTTTGTCGTCACGACCGATGCGAGTCAATACGGCCTAGGCGCAGTGTTACAGCAAGACGATGGCAATGGGTATAGGCCCGTAGTGTTCATGTCTGCCAGAATGCCTTCAGAGAAGGTCGCGATATCTACCTATGAAAGGGAACTCTACGCTCTCAGGCAAGCCTTAGACCACTGGAAGCACTACTTGCTTGGGAGGCACTTCAAAGTCCTATTCAGACCATGAAACGTTACGATGGTTAAAGACGCAGGCCAAGATGACACCTAAGCTTACTAGGTGGGCCGCAGAGATAGATCAGTACGACTTCGAGCTCAAGCCTGTCAAAGGGAAGTACAACGTAGTCGCGGATGCTCTGAGTAGAAGGGCTGATTACTTTGGGGCGATAATGCATTATCTTGATATAGGGAAGGACCTGCAGCAGAAGGTTAGAGAGGCCTACGCGCAGGACCCTATTTATAGTGACCTCCTTAAGAAAGTCAGAGAGGCCTCAGAGACTGAGTCGAACTACCGCACTACTGAAGGGTTGCTATTTGAGAAGACTAATGTCTTTGACCGGTTATGCATTCCCAATAGTGAAGAGATCCGTAGTCTGATCTTGGGAGAATGCCATGACACAAAGGGTCATTTTGGTTGGCAGAAAACTTTAGCCAATCTGATGCGCGCATATACCTGGCCAGGGATGAAGAATGATTGCGTAGAGTATGTTCGCAGTTGTAAAGTCTGCCAGCGTAACAAGACTTCTACGCGTGCTCCGTTAGGTCTTCTCAGACCCTTACCCATTCCGGATCAGCCAGGAAACTCGGTGTCCATAGACTTCATGGACACTCACATCAAAAGCAGGCATGGCAAGAGCCAAGTCATGGTCATAGTTGACCGTTTTAGCAAGTATGCAGTTTTCGTTCCTTTGCCTTCAGAGGCACGTACCGATGGCATG